TCGCTCTCTCTCTCTCTCTCTCTCTCTCTCTCTCTCTCTCTCTCTCTCTCTCTCTCTCTCTCTCTCATTGTTCTCTTGACCATGTTCCCCCCCCCCTCTATTTGAGTGATGTGAAAAGGCAAAGTTTACCCCGGTGTTCAGACACTCTAAGACCATCACTTATTTCCCCACAGAGCTCCCGGCGCTCCGTCAATATGCCGCGTCGTGCCCCAAAAAGTCACAAGAACGATCAAGGAAGTGCGGACTGCGCTCGGATTTGAACCCCGAAGATGCGCAAATGTCCAAACCAATCGCGGCGTGAGTGTTTACAGAACGCGACCCTGTTTTCCCGGAACGTAATGCAGCAATCCCCGCTTATCTTGTCCTCGGGTTTTCTGCTGTATTTGAATATGATCGGCGCCTGCAGTTTTACGGTTATCTTCTTCGCTGTTCTATCACCCGGATTGCTTCCCCTTTAATTCTTTGTACGTAACTCTCAGGGTTACTTTTACTTGTTCCTCCTCTGTTGGCGTTAAGCGTCGAGGGAAGATACAGTTTTCTATGGTAGGCCAGCTCCGCAGCTCTTGAAGTAACTCTCAAGTAAGACTTCTAGTCTCCGACATTTATATGTCATAGTTGTTCCGCAAGTGCCGTAAAACTCTTACTAAAACTTAAAATTTCTAACACGGTCTTTTATGAGAGGATGCTAACCGCTCCAATTAGTTTTCTTCAGACGTATTGTTTTCGTTCTTAGGAAGAATTAGCCATGAAAGAAGCTGCATGAAGACAACCTTGAGACCACCTTAAGCTAAATTGACCGTTTGCATAGACGAAAAGAGCCATACATTGTTTTTGTTCCCCACAGACAGTACCCATAACAATTGTATACTTTGAATACATACCTTATAGTTCCCCGTATAAAATGCTTGACCATCACATGGTTGTTGTTCCAGGCTGGAGAGGCTGTCTGTCTGGTGGACATGCATGACGTCAGATTCTGCTCACGGTTGTCATGGAGATAACAGGCGCGGGTCCAGATGATCACGAGCCAGGTTCCCCACTCAGCCACCGCCTCCGCTGCCCACACCGACGTCATCACACATCTCTGCCACGTCATCTCCAGGCTCCCAAGGACCCCCACCCCGGCGTTGACCCACACACGTTCTCCGATGTAACGTCTGGACAGCTGACAGAAGCCACTTCTGCTGCTCCGGAGTCGTCTGCCAACGTCGTTTGTTCACCCTTGACGTCATTTCCTTCGTGTCTGCAACGGTCCCTGCCGACTGTTGAAGTCATTGACTGCTCTTATCTGTCAGATAGCATGGTTAGATAACAATAGGACCCATACACGCCTTGTGGTTTTTGTCATAAAGATTGCAATTTACCTGGGGTTTATTTTTTCGTTTACCCAAAAAGCAGCAGTGAAGCCTATCTTGCCTCGTCGCAGGAAAGAAAAAGTGAGGATCTTTTCGTCTCAAAATTCTTTCAGCCGATTTTTAGGATGTATATACCCGTTCTTCTGCTCTAAGCACTGGCGCAGTTTGAGTGAGTCAAAGAAGCACGCGCCAGGAAGGAAGCCGCTTCCAGGGAGAGGGAAAGGTGCGCCTCTGGGAGGGATTCCAAGGTGCGTGGGTCGGAGACCGCTCGATTAAATATTTATGGAGCAACGGGGGACGGCGCCGTAGGAAGAACGTATAGATCGACAGGGCCAATCTATTGTCTTTGCTTACAATGCTAGAAAGGTAAATCAACTCCGGCTTTGGCTCAAGGCGACGGTTTTGAAACTAGTTTTTGTTTTTGCTCCACGTTGTTTGAGCTGTGACTTACTGAAGGGTGACCTCAGTCCTGCCATTGGTACATGCTATCTGTTCATATTGTACCTCAGCTGCTGGGGAAATACTTTCCCTGCTCTTGTCGCGTGGAATATTTTACTGACGTGATAATCTTGTCTGGATTGTTTTTGCTGAGTGAGGATATATCTACGTCTCGAGTACTCCGTGCACACGAACAGACAGCAGCTGGGAAACGCTACAACAACACGTTCAAAGGACGCGTGGACATCGTGTCTGAGTTGTATCATCATACTGGTATTATTCCTTTGCTTTTCACACACACAGATACACACACACACACACA